GTTTTGCGTCTTACATTCGATAGCTTTATCTCATAACAACGTGTTAAGGCACATGTACGGGGAACATTGAGTGCTTACAATTTCCAAAAGTCGCCATATGTAGGGTTTGGCAGCCATAGTGACAACCCATGCATGTCAATACTGTTCTCACACCAACCTAATGATTTAGTAAACAGAAAGGTGTAGTGTGGATCCAAAGTAACAGTTAATAAACTCTACGTCTTCAACTTTTTTTCTCCATGGAGGTCGAATGCCCCATTTACTGAACGATGACAAGCTGATATAAGCGATAAAGATGAGCAGGTGTCTCACCTGTTCATAAATATACCACTTCGCGCATTCTCATATGGGTTAGAACGAATGCGAGCACTAGTGATGGCGTCACGGCTTCGTTTATCCAGAGAGTTCTGTAAATGAAACACGCAGAAAGCCATAAATCAAGGCGCGAGCATACAGAATAGAGACCGGCTTGTCCGCCAATCAGTCAACCCACCTTATAAAAGAGCATTTCAAACAACAACTCCTCCGAGCAGTATCGCGTCTGTGTCTCCAGTCTTTCAATCGCCGGACCGAGAGCCTGTGAAGAATCGGGTTGTAAAAGGGCGGTTTGGAGGGCTTCCAACGCCAATGTGGGCAGCTCGGTGGTGTCGCTAGAGCTGGGCCATCGGGACCACCGGTAGACGCGATCATCGTCAACCGAGGCAACCAGGATCTCGGCGTCCTCTGACCAGGAGTGTGGTCCCGTTGGCACCTCTGACACCTCCAGTACTCGAAAGTGAAGTGATGAGATTACAGCTTCCGTGTCAGAGCTATCCACTCCCAAACCTTGTCTTTTTTTTGGAACTTTTGCTTGCACTGGTTGGAGACGACCTTGACTTTTGGCACCCAGACCTTTGCCCTCTACCCAACCCATTCTTTTCTACCAAGAAAGAAAGATTGCTCTTGATGTATGAAGCGAGAGGATGCGCGTGAGTTTCATGCGCAAGAAGGAGATGCACAAATGAATGGATATAAGTGGCAAACTATTCTCCTTCTAACCAGCAATATACTAATAACAACAAAGAGATTGGTAAGTTAAAGTGATCGCCAACTTGTTCAAATGGTCGCCGGCAATTCGTAATGTACTCAACGTTGTGCACCACCTTCATGTTGTAAAACAGAATGTGAAAGACAGTTCAACTTGGCTTGCTTGACCGATACCTTTAATGGTCATATCTAAGCATAAAATAAAAAGATTCTCCATGGGGAACTACTCTAGAAAACGCGAATATAAGACAGCCATACTAAAATATGGTTAAGAAAATCACCCAGCCAGCCTATCAATGCGAACAGGTTAGATAAGCCTAGACAAGTTAAAAGAATTACTT